TAATGTTCTCTATAACATTATCTGTCATGTTCTCTATAATGTTCTCTGTCATGTTCTCTATAATGTTCTCTGTTATGTTCTCTATAATGTTCTCTGTTATGTTCTCTATAATGTTTTCTGTGCTGCTTGTCCGATTGGACCTCACATCTGCTTCTGACCCCATCGACCATGAGATCCTCATTTCTAGGCTGCAGCAGTGGGTGGGCATCACAGGGTCAGCCCTCAAACGCTTTAAATCCTACCTCTCTGACAGAACCTTCTGTGTGAAAATTAAGGATTTTAGTTAATCATCGAGAACTCTTTTGTGGGGGTTACTGCAGGGGTCCATCCTCGGTCCTCCTCTCTTTTCTTTATACCTGCTGCCACTAGGTGATATTTTCTGTAAACATAACATACCCTTTCATTTCTATGCTGATGACTGTCAAATCTACTTCCCTCTGAAGCACACTGGTGCACGTTCTATTCAACCTCTTCTTGACTGCCTGGCTGACATCAGGAACTGGATGTCTTTAAATTTCTTAAGTTTTAATGAGAAGAAGACAGAAGTCAAGTTGTTTCCTCCTAATGGCACAATCAAGAACCACTAGATTGACCTCTCCTCTCTGGTCCCGTTAGAGAATCTAGGAGTGATAATGGACCCTTCTATGAAACTTAACATGATTGATAAATCATGTTTGTTTCAGCCGAGGCGACTGTCTCAGCTGAAGCCCATGTGTCCAAAAATAACCTTGAGACAGTGATCCATGCGTTCATAACATCTAGGTTTGATTACTGCAATGCGCTTCTGTTTGGAATCAGTCAGACCTCCATTACACGATTACAACTTGTACAAAATGCTGCAGCCTGATTTTTAACCAGTACAGGGGAGAAAAGAGAGCACATTACACCAGTTTTGGCCTCACTGCACTGGCTCCCAGTTCACTTTCAAATTCAGTTCAAAATCCTTCTGTACATTTTTAAATCACTGAACAGTTCTGCCCCCTCTTATCTCGCTGATCTGCTGCAGCCACATGTCCCACAAGTGCTCTATCAATAAAGTGGTATGGTATGGTATGGTATGGTATTGTATGGTATGGTATTGTATGGTATGGTATGGTAAGGTATGGTATGGTATGGTATGGTATGGTATGGTATGGTATTGTATGGTATGGTATGGTATGGTATGGTATTGTATGGTATGGTATGGTATGGTATTGTATGGTATGGTATTGTATTGGTATGGTATGGTAATGTTCTCTGTCATCCAGTCCCTGTTGTGTTATTGTCAACATCAGTTTTAAAACGTTTACATTTGGATCGAGTAATAAAGTTAGTGATCTTTTATAAGGAGTTTTGTAATTTTTATTTTTTATTTTTTTGCATACTTGGTATTTTTCCATTAAACATTCAGTATTTTTTCCACTGCTGTGAAATAAACAGGTTTTATTTACTGTGAAAAAATTCCTCCGGTTTGTTTGGATTCAGTATTTGGGGTCATTGTTCTGCTCGCACATGAAGTCGTATTTGACAATTGATCAGATTTAGTTTTTCATTCAACCTTTATTTACACAATTAGTCTCAATGACTCACGAGGACTCATTTTCAAGAGTTAAAGACAAATAACATATAGAGTACAGACAGCAACATTCAACAAAAACCAATTAAAACTAAAACAAAACGTTAAAAACTGTCCAATCAATGTGTCATATACAGTAAAACAAGGTCACATGAAGTAGTTGAAGTCCTGAGCTCTGGATGATGCGTTCAGGGCCTGTCCTGGAAACACGCTGACATTTTGATGCTCTCTGATGATCTAACCGATGACCCGTTGGACAGTTTCTGTTCCTGGAAGGATCAGGTTCTCTTAGACAAACAGTCAGATGTTTGTCAGACCTTCAGGTTTCTGTAGCATCGTGAAGTGAAAGAGTCAGACAACGTTTGTTTTTGCTCTGCAGGTTTTATATTTCATGTTACTGAAAGGTAATACATGAGTTGGATTATTGTTTATTTTAGGTTTAGTTTAGTTGTTTTCAATTTAAAAAATTGTCTAATGAGACTTGGGGCTGATTTTTTTAGTAGAATTCTAACAAAGAGGCTCGTTATTTTTAAATAGTTTTATTTTGGGTTCTGATTTTCTGCTTCTAGATGCAGAACATCAGCTGGAAGAGACCCGAAGGAAGAAAGTGTCAAACTCTTTTTATGATCCCTAAACGCAGCATCTCTCAGGTCACGTTTGTAAATAATAATAATAATGATGATAATAATAATGTGTTATGATCTATCTATCTATCTATCTATCTATCTATCTATCTATCTATCTATCTA